ACAAGTCATCTCAAGTCACTTAACTGTCAGAATCTCTACATACAAGTCATCTCAAGTCACTTAACTGTCAGAATCTCTACATACAAGTCATCTCAAGTCACTTAACTGTCAGAATCTCTACATACAAGTCATTTCAAGTCACTTAACTGTCAGAATCTCTACATACAAACTACACTAACACTCTTACGAAAGTTAAGTTTTACTTCATTGACAAAGTGAAGGTACATATTTTATTTCTCACTACAAGGTATTCCCTCTTAGCTTATTTCATATACCAAAGGATGTATTTTTTTTAAGTTTGAATTTCATCAAGTATAATTATGCAAACATTTCTATTTGAAGGTTAATGCTGTAACTATACATATTGTGTGATACACATTAAGTTTACAAAGAATTATCATCGGAGAAGGAAAGCTTACATTAGTGATATCGTCTGTGATTCCCCGTTTAAAGTTTGGATCAGTCGCAGCCATCATCATCTCCTGACGACAAGCTATCTCCTACAATAAGTAAATACAAATCTTATCAACAGAACTGTCAAAACAAGCTTTGTTTTTCAGTAGAAATTGACCACAAGTGGATAGTGCCATCATTTGTCAACAAGAAACTGTGTCATTAAGAGAAATATGCCCACACTCCTGACGATGAAATCAAAATGTATTTTACTGGCATTAAAGGTATTTGTATAAGAAGTTTTTTATAACCATGGCTGGCCAATAAAGGCTACTGACCATCAGACATTTCGCATTTATAGGAGACTCTACATATTTCCACTCTTTATGACATAGGTCTTTCCTGTCAGATAATGCAGAAAATAGGCTGACAATATCTTTGGAAAGTGGAGCATCAAGATCTCTTGGTGAAACCCTGAATACGTGACATTATATCCAGGTCTATAATTACCTCGGCCTGGGCCAGGAGGGGCTGTAGTCTCCTCTGAATGGCTTTCTCAGCATTATCAATCAATCTCTCTGACGGACTCTGTGACCGGGCAGCCCTGTGCAACATAGTACAGAAATACAAATCAAACAAAAATTGACATGTCATGAGCCATGAAAAGGCAGTTATGGTAATGAAATAAGATTTCATTTCAAACTATGAAAAGACCAAAAAAAATATTGCACTTATCCCTGCTTTGTTTGGTCATAATTATCCAAGCATTCACTTTGCAACACAAATATTAATTAAAACATCACCTGATTGATGGGCAGATATAAAAAACAAAAACTGCTAACAGGTAGTTAATTTAACCTCAGTATAGCTTAGAAATATTAGTCTTCTAACTTTCTTTGGTGTAGCTATATATAGTAGCACCAATCAAAATCAATTCAGACATTCAGAATTGATTTGGTCTAGTGTCCTTTTAACAGCTCAGGTCATTTAAGGATACGTCTGTGTGTGTGTGTAAAATATGTGTTTGTAACATGTGCTGGAGGTGGTATGTTGGTTTACTTGCCTCCTTGCAATAACACAGATCTGATGTCAGACATTTGGGAGTTGTGTCCCCTGCATGTACTGACAGGACCCCTACATGTACTGACAGGACCCCTACATGTACTGGCAGGACCCCTACATGTACTGACGGGACCCCCTACATGTACTGACAGGACCCCTACATGTACTGACAGGACCCCTACATGTACTGACAGGACCCCTACATGTACTGACAGGACCCCTACATGTACTGACAGGACCCCTACATGTACTGACAGGACCCCTACATGTACTGACAGGACCCCTACATGTACTGACAGGACCCCTACATGTACTGACAGGACCCCTACATGTACTGACAGGACCCCTACATGTACTGACAGGACCCCTACATGTACTGACAGGACCCCTACATGTACTGACAGGACCCCTACATGTACTGACAGGACCCCTACATGTACTGACAGGACCCCTACATGTACTGACAGGACCCCCTACATGTACTGGCAGGACCCCTACATGTACTGACAGGACCCCTACATGTACTGACAGGACCCCTACATGTACTGACAGGACCCCTACATGTACTGACAGGACCCCTACATGTACTGACAGGACCCCTACATGTACTGACAGGACCCCTACATGTACTGACAGGACCCCTACATGTACTGACAGGACCCCTACATGTACTGACAGGACCCCTACATGTACTGACAGGACCCCTACATGTACTGACAGGACCCCTACATGTACTGACAGGACCCCTACATGTACTGACAGGACCCCCTACATGTACTGGCGGGACCTCTACATGTACTGGCGGGACCCCCTACATGTACTGACAGGACCCCCTACATGTACTGACAGGACCCCTACATGTACTGGCGGGACCCCTACATGTACTGACGTGACCCCTACATGTACTGGCGGGACCCCTACATGTACTGACGGGACCTCTACATGTACTGACGGGACCCCCTACATGTACTGACAGGACCCCCTACATGTACTGACAGGACCCCTACATGTACTGACAAGACCCCCTACATGTACTCACGTGACCCCTACATGTACTCACGTGACCCCATACCTGTACTGACGGGACCCCCTACATGTACTGACGGGACCCCTACATGTACTGACGGGACCCCTACCTGGACTGACGTGACCCCATACCTGGACTGACGGGACCCCCTACCTGTACTGACAGGACCCCCTACATGTCCTGACGGGACCCCCTACATGTACTGGTTGGGACAGGCCCCCCTACCTGTACTGACGGGGACGAGACCCCCTCCATGTACTGATGGGGACGGGACCCCCTACATGTACTGATCGGGACAGGACCCCCTACATGTACTGACGGGGACAGGACCCCCTACATGTACTGGGGGGGACAGGACCCCCTACATGTACTGGCGGGACCCCCTACCTGGACTGACGTGACCCCCTACCTGTACTGACGGGACCCCCTACATGTACTTATCGGGACAGGACCCCCTACATGTACTGGTGGGGACAGGACCCCCTACATGTACTGATGGGGACAGGACCCCCTACATGTACTGGTGGGGACAGGACCCCCTACATGTACTGGTGGGGCCCCGGACAGGACCCCCTACATGTACTGACGGGGACGAGACCCCCTACATGTACTGGTTGGGACAGGACCCCCTACCTGTACTGACGGGGACGAGACCCCCTACATGTACTGATGGGGACGGGACCCCCTACATGTACTGATGGGGACAGGACCCCCTATCTGTACTGACAGGACCCCCTACATGTACTGATGGGGACAGGACCCCCTACATGTACTGGTGGGGACAGGACCTCCTACCTGTACTGACAGGGACGAGACCCCCTACATGTACTGGTTGGGACAGGACCCCCTACCTGTACTGACGGGGACGAGACCCCCTACATGTACTGACAGGACAGAAACAGTACCGAGGGGACACATGTAACAATGTCAAGTGAAGTCCACTGGTAGAGACCCACGGATACCATGTGATATATTTTACCTTTCTCGTCGTGAAGTGGCAGAATATGTCTGTCTTCCTCTGACTGGAGTCTTCTGCTGAAATATGCAAGCAGGTACTTTTTATTACAGGAAAAACCTGTATAGTAACTTTTGCTTGTCAAAACAAATATGGCTGTGATTATATGAATACTATTTTCAAACATTTTGCTAGCCAAAATATGCTGAGCTTTAGATTAAAATATTAATATTTCTCTGAGGTGTATCTTTTGTATCTGTGTTATGTTTACACAGTAGATACGGTCTGGTATCCACTGAAAACCATTATCAAAGGTCAACGTTGAAGAAATCTCCAAATCTACACTGTTTTAGAAATCTAAAGATGTAACAAACCTTTTGAATCTGTTCCATGTCATCAGGAAAAAGGGTTCTAAAAAGGTAATATAAACAATAAATTTATAAGTTATTAAGTTGGATTTAAGTCTTTGTAACAGCCAAGGTCATTTCTAATAGTATTACATGAAGACGTCCATGTAAGGGACATTTTATAGTGCCACAACGCTTGAATGTCCCGATAACCTGGACACTGCAGTGACATTCAATCTGGTCACATTATTCTAACAGCTTCCATACTCGCAAGATAACTATTTCATTTACAGATTTACAACGATTTGGAGTAACTGTTCAGATTTGAAGTCATATACCAGTTTCAATGTATTTAATTGACTCATTGACTGTGTATTAGGGGTGGTCAATGAGTTCTAAAGGAACACAGTTTCAGCGCTGAATTCCTGCTTGAACACGAGAACATGGTGTCATGAATATGTGCCCTGGTTCCTATCAATATTCAAAATTATTTGCCTGAAACATTTTTGTTGATAGAACACAAACTGATATTAACTGTGGTCTGCAGTCAGATCAGGCTTGTATTGTGATCACTAACTTGGTTATATTGTAATCTGGTCCTAAAATGTGTGTCATCATATTGTGGTCTCACACTGGACTATATGGCCATATGGTTGCCTTTTACAGCTTTTCATAAACTGTCTTTTATATTTATAAGCAATTGCATTTGAGGCCATTATTTCAACTATGTTACCATCTGCTGGTCACTCACTTGACTAAGTCACCATCTAGCATGTCCTGGATGAGGTGACACCGTTGTAGGGCGGGACTTTGTGAGCGGGTCCTCCTACGCCCTTTGGAGGGGGTCCGTGCGGTGCCTCCCGGTCGCCATGGCTCCCGTCGTTGTCCTGGACTTGTAGATCTCATTCTCCTTTGTTAAATGAAACCTATTTTATTACCACTGATCAATTGAGTCACCTCTTAATTCAAAGTCATGTTTTGGACTCATGAGTTATGATGGTAAATATTAATGTGTAAACGTATTGTTAATGTTAATGTTTATAAAAAAGATCCAAATTAGAATTTCCTGCAACAGTTCCCACTAAATCCTGAGACTTGAGTCTGGATATGAGTGTTTCTCTGGAGTGAAAGGGGAAGTAAGAGCACCTCATCACTACACCATACACTAAACGAAACCATTTAATAAGCTAATAATACTCTGTATTAATAGATTTATTATTTCCGTGTAGGTGTCTTATGATACCATATTAAAATTATGTACAAATTCTAACAAATGAAAGGATAATAAACTCTTTATTTAAAATTTCTTTGTTTAAAGGGGCTGGTCGGGGAAAAAATAAATAACAAAATAAATGGGTCTAAATGCGTTCTCTGGCCTTCCAAAAGTTATACCACGGCAATATGATGGTCGAGTTCTGCTTGCAATGTCCAGTTTTGACCACTGAAATCTTGGGGAAGCTCCGTGTAAATTTAGCGCATATCTATTCATATATGTCACGTGGTTGTTTCGAAAGTGAGGCAGTGAAGATAACAACAATAGCACGCCGTCATGTGCCATGTCGGACTCAACTAGCCGACAAGACAGCAATACTATACGTAAATAATTGTTTGCAAAGGTCATGTATGATGCAAGTGTAGTATTCCTACCTATATGTTGTTGTTATATATAACGGTATTAGGATTTCTTTAATATAATTATAATTTTTACTCTTAGGGGGTGAATTTCAGCAAAATTTGAATCGGTATATTTCATAAGAAGGTATTTTAAACATGTGTATGCCATTTTAGCAAATATGACATTTTTTCCCCGACCAGCCCCTTTAATGTTTCAATAGTAACTGTACATGTGCATTGAGACTTTTCAGTTTTGGTAGTTAGGACTTTAATTACTATTGAAACATTAAACAAAGAAATTTTAATTAAAGAGTTTATTATCCTTTCATTTGTTAAAATTTGTACATAATTTTAATATGGTATCATAAGACACCTACACGGAAATAATAAATCTATTAATACATCACATTCCCAAACAGACATTTTAAATGTAGTTTAAAAATAAATTTATTTATTTTAGAATCATTGTTACACAAGTTCCATCGCCTTATATTCATCACACTTGTTGTTGTAGGTAAGAAAGGATTCTTACCCGGAGGGGGTGGGTGGGGCAGAGAAGGATCGTTCCATGATGAGGTTATGTTGAGGGGTTACAGACTTGAGGTTTGAGGACACGGTAGGATCTGCGAAGTGACAGTCAGTGTTCCCCTGGACTACGGCCCTCTGGGCTCGCGCTCTCTTCTCCTGGAATTCAAGTGAAGCTACAGTAGTGTTGATTCAGTACAGTGGACATTTCTTTTGTCTCAATAAGTAGTCAAACTTTGTTAACATTTTTAAGTGGTAATTCATACTTGGTCGATATGGGGCAAACTTGAAAGATACAGATGAATGCTAATATGTTTAAAGGGAGATAAATCCAACACAAATTACATAGCATTAATGTAAAGACTAGGAAGTCATGGAGAGTCAATAAAATGTAATTGAAATTAAATTTAGTGACTAATCTTGATGTATTATTGAAAACAAATAGATGTACCTTATTCATTTACTTGGCATAACCAGTTAAGTGGACAACAATTTCATCAATTTTATAGATAGTTCAATTCTTGCCCAGACCTATGATTTAGATGCTATAGAAATGACTGGTGCTTACCTGTAGTTTGGCTGGCAGGATTAGACTTTTGGCTGGGGCCTGTGATGGCTGATGTCCAGACACCTCCCAAGCCATCCCTGCTCTGCCTCTTTTAAGTTCTCCAGCTTCTACCAGGGCAGCAATACCCGCTCTCATCGCTGCTTTCCTGTCGGGAGTCACATCCTTCGCAGCTAAAACATTTATTATCACATTTAAAATCAACATATCAAGTTTCATTAGGAATATATATACATCAGTATTCAGTTTGTCTGCAAGGTTTTGGAAATGGTGCCAAGCTAAGACTGCTTTCATTGGATGTGACAATAAAGCCATTCAGGGATAACAATAAATAAATCATGTCCAATACTCCTTCCATAAGTAGAGGTAATATACTGTAAATCATAACCCCCCCCCNATTATTGAATTAACCCATGCATCCTTACAATGTTGCTTACTATACAAAAAAATTGTCTAGCATTTGATTTGTCTCTTTGTTCAAGAGTGAATTTAAAATTTACCCTCAATTTATGTTTTACAGTAGTGTACAGGTAAAACGTTTTGGAATCAATATTTCTGTATTAAACAAGTATCACATGTTAAAATTACACAAAAATGTTAACTGTAAGAACAAGTGAAGTTCCATTTTATACAGGTTTTCCTGTTATACAGGGTTTCATTTAGACATGCTACTGTATTGTTAAATACACATGGAAATGCTTAAATATTTAAAAGTGCCTATTTTGATCAGAAATCAACAACTCTCTCACACTTGGCAAAAACACATTTCCATTCTCTATTGGGAAAAGATATATCTGATTTTACCTACCTAGGGAATGACAGCTCAACTTTAAGCTAAAGGACATTGTATTCACCATTACAACATGTATTTATCAGAGTAGGTAGGTGTGAAAGAAAGATTATCTGACAATCAATCCTGTGAGATAAAGACACAGAAATTTCAACCCGCAGGATGAAATATTTTAAGTACAACACTTGGTAAAGCTTGATGCATAACTTAAAACATTTTAGCCTAAGGTTGATGTTTCTCTTTGTACATCTATCAGGAGTGATAGATTCTATTTATCTTACCTTGTCTGGGCTTTTCTATTTTCCTAGACCCTGCTGCAGATGGCTTGATGATTCCTGAAAACATATTTCAGATTGGACATCATTCACTGGACTTGAAATTTAACTGTAACACTGCTGACTTCTGTCCATGGTTATTGACTTCTGTCCATGGTTATTTGCATCAAAAGTTAATTCTGGAGATTTTGACAGAGACCATTTGTAAGTGGCCGAGTCTAAAATGGACAATGCATCGAAAAGAACAATAGAGCTGTGGAATCTTCCAGGAGTTCACACCTAGAAATAATTTCCATTTTATGGATCAGAAATGATATTTGGTATGTAACATCTATTTTCAGAGTACTTTTATGAATATGAGCTGTTCTCCTAGAGGTTCCATGTGGTTAGTACCTTTCACTGGTTTGTTTTCCTTCCCTATGGTCCTCCTCTGCACTGGGCGACCCCTTTGTGGGGGATCCTGGTAAGTGGGCGGAACCCGAGGTGGTTCCTTTGTCTTGGTAACCACAGATTTCGATATCTCCTTTTCTGGTAAATCCTGGCACCATGCTTTGTTCAAATCCTTAAATTTAACCCAAAAAATGCATTCTTTACATGTACATATTTGTTTCAAATAATTCCAAAACTTTATTACAATTTATCATTTTGAACAAATATACCGGTGTAGAAGTAATTTCTTTCCCCGTCTGAAAGTTTTCCTGGGGAAGAAATAGGCTAGCTGATTTTTTCCCCGGGGAAGTGAAACAGCTAGCTGATTCTTTCTCCCCTCGGTTATTTTATTCCCCCGGGGGAAGAAATCAGCTAGTTAATGCTCCCCCTCCCCCTCGTTGTGTTTGTTAATGGGGGATATTGTTGACTAGCCAATACTTTCCCCTCTCTGTATTAGTCAATTGGGGTGAAACATTGGCTAGCTGATTCTTTAATCCTCTGTAATTTGTTTAGTGTTAACGTCCTATTAACAGCTATGGTAATTTAAAGACGTGCCAGGTTTTGGTGGTGGAGGAAAGCCAGAGCTCCCGCAGAAAAAACAACGATCTACGGTCAGTACCTGGCAACTGCCCCACGTGAACATTGGCCTCGAACCTGCGACCTAACGGTGGAGGGTTAGTGGTAGCAAAATGTCAGACACCTTAACCACATGGCCACCGCGACCCCCCAAAAAAATGAAATATAAGGCAACCTTGAAATGTATGCTGGCAGTAAGGGAGGTGGCAAAGAAACGAATTGATTTTTATCTAATGGACATTTTCATACCATGGCACATGATATCAATGTATTTTGATTAATAGATATCATACACCCTTTTGATTTCCATGTATTTCGATTCAAAGATATCAAATAGTTAATGCCCTGTTGATTTCTATGTAATTATTTACAGACATACTGAGTTTGAAGGCTGATCATGGTCCTAATGTCACTGATGTAAAGAGGTTGGAATGTACACTTACATCCACCTTGTCCAGCATCTTCAGCAGGTCGCCTTGGACACTAGACTTTTCAGAGGCCACCTGGTTACTGAGGAGCGTCATCTGACGTATGAGGAGAGCCAGCTCATGGTAGGTGGCAGGCAGGCCACCACTCAAATCTGTGTGGGGTAGGTTGGCCACAAAAGACTGGATTGCTCGCACAGCCCCACGATGTGCTGCTGCTAGTCGTGTAGAGCTTCGACTCTACAGAGAAAAAGCAAAATCATTTTTCAAACACTGGGTTTATCATATTGATTACAATATCATAAATATTGGTTTAACATGTGATAATATATAACTAACCATAATAAATCAATATAGAAATTAAACTTGATAGAGAATCAGTAAAATATCTCACGCAATGTCTTATATCAGATCAATAACAAAAATATCACAGGACTATTGTATTATACATAAATTAACCCTTGTAATACTTCTTACATATGAAGACAATAGAGACAATGTCATTATATTTGGGCATAACGTTGAAGACAATAGACACGAAATCAAAATCATGATAGAGACAACAAAGACTTTATGGTAACTATTAGTAGTGTTCACATACGCACTCAGTTATTGTTAAATCAAATGTGAATCACACCTTCTTTGTGTGTTTAATTTTCTCTGGTCCGAGGCGGATGAACTCATTCTGCATCTCGCGGACCTGCTGCCGTAACATGTAGAGCTGACGTGAAGTGCGTGTAGTTAACTCCTCCATGCGTGCTTGTTTCCGTTGTGCTCCCTCGTCCACTTCAAGATACCCATCCTTTGGTCGATGTTTAGAGGATGGTTGTAGAAATGAGGTGTTTTGATCTGGGGCAGAAAAAAGTAGAAGGTACAACAGTCGATTCTATTGATTGATTTGTAAATCAAAAAGGAATTTGAATAAATCATGAATAATATGAATCATAGATGAAAACATCTTTTCATTACTGAGCAGAGGGATGAAGCCATCACTGATACATAATGATAGTTCAGGGCATGGCACGTAGCTTACGGCTCAAACATCTCCCTATTGAAACTTATCTCCTCAGACAGACAATACAGCATCAATTTTATACCAGTATTATTGTCTACAACTTAAGACTGTAATATCTCAATATTTATAATAAAACATTCTGCTTCAGTCATGAGAATCTATATGATCGGCCACCAGTATAACACACACTAGAGGTGACTAAGTATTACCATTCATAGCCCTCTGCTCTATGACCTGAATCTGTTGTAGATAGCCCTCCATCTCATGCTGGAGTCTCTCTATTTCCTTCTCTGGTTGGGCAGAGGGAGCGGTGCGTTGCACAGGGTACAGTTTGAAGTCTGTGTCCCTTGATGGTGGTGACTGTGAAGATACTGAAAAAACAATCAAATTGAATTTATCATAAAACGAGGAGCAAATGATCAAATTAATCCACCATTAAGAAAACCACGGCATTGGCTCTACCCTTGCCTTGTTTTAAATTGAATTTATGGATTATTTGGTTACATTATGAAACATATTATACAACAAGGTTTTCATTTAACCCTGGAAACTATGTTTTTTAATTCTCCATGTTTTAGGTTAAAGGTGACTTGAACCTAGCTACATGTATCAAGAGTCAAATGAAAGCCCTGAACATGATAATTCCCTGTTTGAATAAAATAAAAACTGATAGGTACTTTATAGCTAAAGATCAACAGTGAAAGCTTCCGAATGGGAACACAACACTCTAGGCCTGTAGAATTAATACAATTTATATTATAATTCAACAACATTCATCATACCAGGTATAGGGAACATTGTTTTCGCAATGCTAAGTGAAATTCTATGAAGTTTTTAAATACCAGACAACTAGTCCTGTCAACAATTGGACAAATTGATTTATATTTTTTCATCGAATACAATGTATTATGTCAAAATTGTGACACAAATCAACACAAATCATTGTGCAATTGACTGGAACATGATTCGACCAAGTCAGATTAATCTTACTTTTACTTTTAGAATATAATCTTAACCGCAATGATATTATTATTGCAGGTTTTATCAGAAGAAATCCACACTCCTTGTAAATGATACTTATACAATTACCTGGCATTGACAGATCAGGCACTCGCCCTCCTCCAGGCCGAGACAGTCTGGGAGGAGTTTGTGTTTTGACATTCTTTGGACTACGGTTCCTGTCATGTTCTTTAATCTTTAAGTTTGATTTGTTTTTCACCGGTTGACGCCGCATCCTATCTCTTGATGCTCGATCCCGTATCACTTTTGTTTTTCCAAATGTCTTTGGGGATGGAGAGCGTGATTTTGTTCTGGTTTTACCAAGCTGTCTGTTCATATGTTCTTCTTCCTTTTTCTTGCGTATATCCCTCTGGGCCAACCTCATAGCTATTGACATTCTGTCTTCTGAGATGGAAGAAAAGTTAAGCCCCCCTGAATTGTCATGACTGCCCCCTTGTGGTAGGCCATGAATACCAGCATGACCTGCAGGGAAGACAACTCCTGGGGGCCCTCCGCCTTTATCAATCACTATGGGGTTTGGTCGGTGGAATTTGAAGGCAAGGTTCTGTACATTACTTGGAACATCTAGATTAAACTGCAGTTGATTCTGTATAGGATAGAATGCCATGTCTGCAAGAAAAAGGGATTTGAATCAAAAGTTTGGAATAAAGCTTATGCTATCCTCTGTGCCGGCGTTTACGTGCCTACTCTATTTCGAAAAACTCAGAGGGATCTTTTCCGTGCGAGATTGGACAGTTCTCACACAGGTCACCATTTATAGTCCCATCCGATGGACTTTGTGTTAATGGTTAGTGGTTAGAGTCATGCAGGTGCTGTTTTTTTGTTGTCCATTCATGTAATCTGCTCTTTGTCTTTCTTTACTTAAATAAAGCTGACTGAACTTTACCAATATCCTCTTTCTTATAAACCTTATCTTGTCTTTCACCTGGTCCTGTTCATCTTTCCGACATTTTATTCTATAGCGTGATTATTAGTAAGGGTAGAAGGGTTGGGGGAGAGAGTGTACAATCATTACAATATGTGGGGCCAACCGCCAAATAGATGTTATTGGCCGATTCCATCCATTTATCTTGTTTCCTATAGCAGATATACTTATTTAACATGTTTTCGTTTTATTTGTTTTTAATAGTTGTTTAGTTGATATTTAACTAGCTATGGGGGTGGGGCACAGAGGAGGAGACTCCAGACCTCCTGGAATGTCAGTATATACCAATGCATGGGCGGACGAGTAGCAGTCCACCCTGGTATAGCCTCCCTTGGTATCCTTGGTACTTCCAGGCTTTATGGTTATGAACGGTTGTTATTGTGTTTTGTTTTGAATATAATAGGTATGTAGTACATGACATTTTAATTGGGTTTGGAGTGTTGTTAAATTAATATTCAAATATTGGGACTATCCAATGTTTTTAACAATTAGTTGTTTAGTTGATATTAAATGAGTGAGTGTGGGTATACAAGAAGACAGAATTAAACCGAACAAACAGACATAAATAAAGCACCAGGTATAACACCAGGCCTCCCCTGAGGGGAGGGGGGGCAATCGTTAAATAAATGTTATTTGCCAATTCCATCTATCTTGTTTACGATAACAGCTATGTCTACTTAACATCCTAATTTATATCCATCGTTTAGGCTTTGATTAGTCTACAAACGGCCTACTGCTTCAGATTGTACATCCCCCCGACGTATATATTCATGTGTATGTACTCATGTATACTTCTATATATATAATGTTATGCTCAATTAGACATAAGATTGCTGTGGAGTAGATCTAGAAGACACATCCTTTTTAAAAACAGAACTTCCTGCATGTGACCAGAACACATACGTTTCAGCTTTCCTATATCAAGCGGAAGTGTTAGGTTTATTGTTTTTTGAATAATTAAATAAATTGATAGGCGGTTCCAGGTTTTAATAGTCCTTGGACAAAAATATTGTTGTCGGATTTGTGTTCTGCAAGATGGAATTTGATAACAGAGTGAGTGTGTGTGTGTCGTGACTGTCTAAGAGGTTGTATTTATCTGTCTGTTTTTGTGATGGCAATTAGTTGGTAGGATATTTTATAGAACATGACAAGGCAGGCATCTGTTCTCCTGTGTACTAGGTCTCTCCATTTTAGATTACGTATCATGTCACTAACACTTGAGATGTTTCTGTGTCTGTTAGTGACAAATCTAGCGGCCCTTCGTACCTTTTCAAGTTTGTTTATCCGCTGTTTGTGACTTTGATTTTAAATACCACTTAAATAAATCAAATATTCGAATATGCACATGTTATGCAGCTTAATTAAAGCATATCTATATATGGTAAAATAAGTTGCTTATTATATGGGTAGTACCCTAACAGTGGCGGATCCAGAGGGGTTTTTTGGGCTTCAGGAAACCCCCCCAGCCTGATAATTTTCTTTAAAAATCATGTATTTTCACCATTTTCCTCAATTTTTCCCCACATGGAAACCCCCCCAGGAAATTTGGAAACCCCCCCCCCCCCCAGATAGGTCTCTGGATCCGCCACTGCCTAACGTACTGATATGCAAGGATATATTTGTGGGCCAACAACTGAACAAGTACAGACATGAATATTGAAACAAAATCGAAATGTATTTGATGATAAATCCACTTTTAAGGCGAATCGGAATGAAAGCTTGCCATAGCATCTATATATATATCAACTGAAATTAATTAATAACAAAATATAATCATGATACCTAATTAAAAATACTGTCGTTCATTTCCACGGCTTGAGCTATATCGGCTTACCGTGTTTGTTGACAATTTTCAAAATGTATGAGTCCTCAGTTTCGTACAAAATGCTTACGCACTTAAAAATAGAATAATCTGCTTACCACATTTATAAAATTATGCAGTGAAATGATCTATTTAAATATATTTCAATGTTTAATTACAATTTTTGTTATAAATGTGTACGTGCTTGATATGATAAAAAAAATAACGTCGCTTAAATCAATTTCATGGAGTTACTTCCCTTTGACCACAAACAGGACCCAAACGATGATTTTTGTTGGGGGGAGGCAAAGCCGAAGAAAGACAAGTCAATAAAGATTTGAAAGAATGTTTATATATATATTATGAACAGGGGAAGTTCCATGAATTTTTCTGTTGTTTTTTTTAAGTTAAGCGCCTGCTTGACATTTTGGTTAATGAACAGGTTCCACAACTATACTCTAAGTCTTACGTACCATCGTATTGTATTAAAGCGTGTTTTGTACAGTGTGGTATCGTATTGTATTACAAATATCCAATAAGTTATCATCAGTAGAAGAGTATGTATCCCGGATCTTAATGGTACATTCATTATATTTAACTGTAGCCCCAACAGTGACAGCTAAATAACTTCAACCACGGACTTAGATAATCTAATTGTGTGCTTCAACAGTTCAAAATGTCACCAAAACCGCTAAGTGTACATGTATTTGTCTAACCACGGACTTCCTTCTGTGATCTGACATACACAAAAAGTAGGTCCTCAAAGCACATGTATCATGCTTCATATATGTTTTCGAGGCAAACATATGTGCTCAAAGGACAAGATATATGCTGTCTAAATCCACGTGATTATTCAAATCCCAACTTACTCTTATATCGTTATCATTAAGGATACGCATAACGCTCATGGAAACTATATGCACATGGGTAGTATACACCTGTGGATAGCGCACTCGCATTTCACCAACACAGTCGAGGTTCGATTCCCTGATCGGACGTGAAAAGATATCAGAGGGGTCGTCTGCCCGACGACGTGAATTTTCTCCGGGTACTCCAGTTTCCTCCACATTAAGATCCTCGGCTCGTTAACATTCGGAACAAGAATAATGATTAATATAAGTCAATAAAACTTTTTTCATAAAAGTTGTAAGATAAATAAAGTTTATTTAAGCATTGAACTTCCTTCAGTTGGCATTCATAGGCAATATGAATTCCAACTGGACAAAGGCAAATCCAACACGAAGCGCGCTGAATACCAACTGAAAGCAGTTCAATACTTAGATATTTAACATCGCATGCCATTGCCACTATATAACCCTACCAAATTCAGTTGGCATTCATAAAGGCTTTGAATGCCATGGACCGATTGTTGACGTCATTATTTGTTACGTTGGATACAATTGACCCTCCCCTGGCGATGGCTGTTCTATTCATTGAACAAGCACACGGTACATACACTATTTGAATTAAATGCTGAATAATGATAAATGTAAAAAAAAAAAAATGTGATGAACCACGGAATTAGATTAGATCTAAGTCCGTGGATGATCGGTCAGCAGCTATCAGTCACAGATATGATATCGACAATTGTGTATGTGACTCAGGATAAACGATATTTTTTTCCGAGCGACAAAAAATGTTTTTGCTATAGCATATTAATGATTTCCCTTCATAATTTATACGTGCATTCTGGAGCAGTTTCTAACGGACAGCGTTCTGTGTTACTTTGATGCCATCACGATGGGTTTCCGAGCGTTTGGCGAGCAGTAGTTTCACATGCTGCAGGTAATGGCGAACAGCTGCCAGGGAACCAACTCAAAACAGCGGCTATTATTTCTCTAATAGACGAAAATCATCTACACACAAAAACAGGAAATATTTTTAAAGATAAGATTTGAAAGACTTACGTTGTCATGGTAACCCTTAGTAATGTTAGCGAAGATAAAGAGAAAGTATATATACATCATATTACAGGGTTTTTCTGAAAGAAAAATGTGAGCGCGAGAGATATATCTGTAAGTATACGTACAAAGCTATGTATATAGTAGGGTACCACAGGCTGACGAGAGAGGGAGGCCGAGGGACTCGGAGCTCTCGTGTAAGCACAGCATTTGTATTTTAATATTCACTCCTCCTCGTAAACGCTGGAGCCGAGTCGCCTCTGGGATAACTATCAACATTACACAGAAGTGAAGCTTTACAGTGAAAACTTGCAAAATACATGGACCATATATGTCTAACATCTACACAGGTAGTGCACATGTACCGCAGTGTGTGAGTTTTTGGTGGGAATTTGTGAATGTGCCGAAGAAACATTAATCGCAAACGTTAGTTTTAATTTACCGGATTTCAGGAAATTTATTACTAGTTCGTTAATTAACTTAATTAAGACGGAATTATCTGGAGATGCTGGTGGATTTTAATCGACTGGAGCGTTTTCTGTGTGGGATATAATCAGTTCACTGTGTGTTTTACTATTCCCCGGGGGTGTGGACTTGGAGAGATATGGCGGGCCCGGGGGAGAAGTTCGTTAGAGTCAACTACCGACATTACCACTCCTGGCTCATCCCACGGTCAGCTGTCTGCTCCATCTTGTCATGTGCCCTCATCTCTATGCTGATCGGAATCATCCTACTGGCGATCGGAGGGTCAGTATCACTTCCATTTAAATTATTTACTTAACATTTTGTAACAGATAGCTCGTTTATACACCAAAAAGACACAGACAAGAAAATGCTTGTTACCACCATGCTACAAGGGATGCTGTCGGGATTCAGGGTATCTTATATGTTTTCACTGGTTTACATTGCTGTTATATAATAGCTATAGCATTTCAGTGCGTTATTATATATCAGTTGCATAATTGTTTTCACACTGGTCGTTTCTCAGTAAAATAATTAACTTAATTCAGAAGGTGATGGCCACTTTTTCTACAATCTGACCAGCTCTGTGTACGAGTGACATATATGCCCACCCTTGTTAGGTCTGTAGGCCACATACCTGTCTCACCTGGAGATCTGTCACACACCTGTACACTGACCACCAGGTAGGCGTACGTAACTGACCATTATCGTATTCACGGTACACAGAATAAATATTTTGAAAAGATTACTTTATTTGTATAGATTTAAATATTTCTGTAATACTAGTACAGGTAAAACTGAATCTACGTCTAAACAGCTCCACTGACTTAATGTATCAATACAACTGTAATCTGCGACAGTTCAGGTAATTATTAAACTCAATACAACCTTCTAAATTATCACAATCAAATTAAACATTCTAAAATGTTCCACTATAGATACATTGGAGGACATTAATTTAAGTATTTGACTTAGTGCCCCATAAAGGTAGTGCCTGTCTCACATCGCTGTTTAGTATCGTTGATATTACCCGATGTACTCGGATACGAATACATTCTAAACGGTTATCATCGTATAGAGTCTCAAACGCTTTAGTTCCAGTGAATGGCTCTTATACCATCGGACATGGATACCAGATAACGTCAGTGTTTGTCAATAGAACTTATTATTGGTACGTAAGAGATTTTACCTGCCATAACTTTGAACTATACGTAGCATGTACACATTGATTTAATTATCTGTTGTGACCAACAGGAAATGAATGTCAGGAGCAAACAGTAAAATACTTGTCCTGAGCACGAGAGAATGCTCTTCAAGCAATGGGAAACGTTGAAAAAATTAATGCTTTTACACCTGTACATGTTATGAGCTCTATAGGATACACGTGTAAACTGAATAGGGTACGTGTTCTGAGCTTAATAGGATACACGTGCAAACTGAATAGGGTACCTGTTCTGAGCTTTTATAATAGAGTACGTGTTCTGAGCTTAATAGGTACATGTCCTGAGCTCGGTAGGATAATGTTATGGGTCAAATAGGAAACATGTTCAGAGCTCAAAATAGAAAACATGTTCTGGGCTCAATAAGATACTCGTATTGAGCTCAAAGTATACAAGTTCTGAGCTTTTAATAGAGTACGTGTTCTGAGCTTAATAGGTACATGTCCTGAGCTCGGTAGGATAATGTTATGGGTCAAATAGGAAACATGTTCAGAGCTCAAAATAGAAAACATGTTCTGGGCTCAATAAGATACTCGTATTGAGCTCAAAGGATACATGTTCTGAGCTAAATAGAATACATGTTCTGAGCTTAATAGGTACATGTCCTGAGCTCGGTAGGATAATGTTATGGGTCAAATAGGAAACATGTTCAGAGCTCAAAATAGAAAACATGTTCTGGGCTCAATAAGATACTCGTATTGAGCTCAAAGGATACAAGTTCTGAGCTTTTAATAGAGTACGTGTTCTGAGCTTAATAGGTACATGTCCTGAGCTCGGTAGGATAATGTTATGGGTCAAATAGGAAACATGTTCAGAGCTCAAAATAGAAAACATGTTCTGGGCT